CGCCCTGGGGTAAGCCCCCCATAGACTTTGTGTCCCCCACCCGTTTCCCGAGGTGTGTCCTGAGAAAATACAGTGACCGCAGGTCTGCCTGGGTACGCATTTCGGGCTTAACGGGAAAATCTAGTCACTATGTCCCCATTCCTCGTGTTGTGCGCTATGTTCGGGGCTAGGCGCGGGAGAAACCTGAGCGCCATCCCTCTGGTTCTTACTGGAGGCAACCAACTTCCTAAGGTTCCCATGGTGGTGTTTCAGTTGCCCCTATAAACCTCATGTCCCCGTTCACAACTCACATACCCATCAGACCCTCCGGTACATTCTGTCCTCTCAGGAGGTATAGCCGGAATATCAGCAATAGCACGCATAATAGATAACAAAGGAGGAAAAACAATTAAGCGGCACAGTTTCAAATAAAGATACTTAGTAGGTGAAGACAGTTTATGGGTCCAGTGTCCGGGTTCGCTGTACAGGTCAGGCGTGTTGATGATGCCATAGGTAGTTTCACTCACGGTGCTAATCTATATGTGGCCAAAATAAAGCTGTCGTGGTCGTATCAGCGTAGGGACACAATATGCCCAGAATCCCCCCCTTGTACCCCACCACCCCAAGATCACGTCCAAGGGCCCCTGAGTGCTTCCTGGAGGGTGGGTCAGGAATCCGTGGGGCAAGAAGGGGTGCAGCGGGCCCTTAATAGAAGTGCATGAGAGGGAGGCCGGTCTAAGCTGTCTCGTTGCCAGGGATGCATACAGTCCTGGGGAGTCTCTTTTCCATTCAGGTGAAGATATAGTTGTGTGAGGTTGGGTCAGTTCCTACCCTTGCAGTGTCCCCAGGGTTCGGTTCGGCATTACCCCACAATGTCCCAACTTATAATGACGTCAGGATCGTTGTACGTGTGTCAGCAAAATCCTTTAGCTCAGGTCAGGGGAATATGTGGTGTTATGGAGGAGGGGTCCCCAGGGTCAGACAGGGTATCAGCAACAGGGTGGATCGTTGCCATCCAAGTAGCGGTAGTTATTCCTGCGCCCCTCTTGCATCTTGGCGGCGGCGAGGCGGGCCCTGCGGGGACCTTCCCCTGCGTCGGCGGGGTGCGCGTTGCGGTCTCGGGCCAGCGTCCAAAGGGCCCAGGACCCAGTCGGGTACAGGTACAGGTGGCAGGCCCAAGTCCTCCAGGAACCTGGGGACTTCGTCCGGCCAGCGGATTGACACCCAGCCGTTCTGGTGTCTCGCCAGAAGGGCGAACGGGAAGCCCCATTTGTATGTGATGTTGTGTTCCCTGAGAAGCGTCGTGATGGGACGCAGCGCTCTCCTTGCTTCCAGAGTGACTGGAGAGAGGTCATTAAATAAAGATATGTGTGCCGCTTTGTATTCCCATGTGGGGTGGGACCTGGCCGCTTTCATAATGGCGTCTTTCATAGCAAACGAGTGTAGGCAGCAAATTATGTCCCTTGGGCCTTCCTCTAGGGAGCGAGGCCTGAGTGCCCTGTGTGCTCTGTCATACCTGATGTCCATTGGGGTGTCACTGGGCAAAATCAGGCGGAAAAGGGCTGTCAGTTCCGTTTCAATGTCTTCCTCACCGTCTGTTTCTGGCATACCGCGTATTCGGATGTTACAGCGGCGCCCGCGGTTATCGAGGTCTTCCACCGTTCTCCTGAGCTGCAGAAGCATGTCCCCCTGTCTAGCTACGGCTGTGTCGGAAGAAGCCAGTCTGGCAATGTGTGCCTCGTGGGAGCGTTCCAGGTCAAGAACCCGGGTACCCTGCGCTGCCACCTCCGTCCGGATCCCGGCCATTTCAGCCCGCAAGGCATCCTGTATGGTGGTGGTAAGTAGTAGGAGGTCGGTCTTGGTGGCCATGGAGGCCGCAATAGTGCGGATTTCTTCCCCAATGCTTTCAAGTGTGGAGGCAGAGGAGGCCCCGGGTGTGGAGGAAGCGGACGCCATTTTGGGGCCTCTGGCCTCGTCGCGTGTGTCTGCCGGCGTTTGGATATATTCGTCCATCGGGCCCACTGAATGCTGAGATTGGGATCCCCTGGGGGTCCCGGAAGGTTCACCCCTTCGGCTCCGACCCATTAGTGCTGATAGGAGCTATTTATTAGGGCGATGAAGGGACCGGTGGAGCGGAGCTCGCGGCTTACACGTCCATCCCGGTCGGCGTCCAAGCCACGCCCCTTCAACAAAAAATTTAAACTAAATGAAAGGTTTACTGTTCAAATAAAGTGAGATAGTGATTTCTCTCCATTTAAAGATACCCCTAATATTAGGTTTGAATTTTTCCAGGAATAAGATGTGCAGCACCTACAGTTCAATAAAATTACAACCTCCCATACTCGTATTAAATAGAAAGCTAGCTTACCTGTTCATCAAGCACACTGGCACCAACATGGTAAAACCCTACAACATAGTAGTAAGCAGATTCCAGGTCTGTTACGGGACGTTCCAAGAAATTCTTTAGCCGCTCCACATCATCTCGGCTCAGGTAGTGACTGGGGGACAAGGCTAGGGTACTGGCTAAGAGTGTGAAAGCCCAGATGAAAACCAGATGTTGAACTGAAAATAAAAAAAAATAAAAAAAAATATTGTGTTTTATTACAATAGTCTGCGTTACTAATGCAAAGCAAACCAATTACGTTTAATGATGTCTCAACTTAACCTATAAACTCAGCAGTAGTTTATGGTTCAAATAGTACTGCACTTAACAATATTTCTATATATCCCATAGGTTTGATGGAATTGATCCTCACTCTGGAATTAGCACAACAGCTGTTATTGACTTACACACAGCTTCATCAACAGTTTTGTGAACAGAGCTATAACCTGACAACCTAAATACTTAGCCACACATCTTTGCAGCTGGGTCCTTGCACGTAGCATGTATGGGAACATGAGTTTTCATAGCATGCACACACCATACAGATACGTGAATGTGCAGAGGTGTCAGTATATAAACAACTGTAATAAGCAAATAAGTTCTGGGAGACAGTGGATCTCCCTGCACTACAACGGAGGCAGAGCATATGTTGCTATGGTGCCTGGAATGTCCTTAAACCTGTCCTGTGGTTTGGAAGAAAGTAAAATCGCACAGCCTTCTGGCTCAAGAACAAAACAAAAAATCACTAGGATCCCTTTGTAAACTGAAAATGCAATCTTACCACGGTCCTTTCAAAAACAAGCAAAGGGGTGCTCTTAATTGGGGTGAAGGGTTAGGGCTCTATGAGTTGCCAATTTCTTTACCGCATATATTGTTGGTGCTAGGGTACTGTACCAATAGATGTTGAATATTAATTAGTAGGTATTGCTGTCGATGACACCAAGGAAGTCTCACCAGAATATTTCTTTACCTCTATGATTCCATGTTGACTTTTAATAGTGATACACAACTTACTATGACTGGTTCACCTTCCATATGGCCTCACAGTAACCCCCCCAGCTAATCTCAAACAAAACGGTGTAGTGAAATATGGTGTGTGGGTGTAAAGACATCTCAGTTATTTTGGGTGACAGTTCTCCCATCTCCTACATTACACGTACACAGCAGGCCAGACCGAACATCTGGGGTTAGTGTATATTTCTTGCAGTAAGGACTTCAGTCTCCAATGTTTTATGTTCTCTGTCGTCATAAGCTTAAATTTTAATGGGGACAAATTGAAGTGCAAATTAATTGGAGTTAACTGCTGATTACCAGTGCTCTCATACATTGTGCTCTGAAGTGTATTTTCACAAGGTCTACCCACATCAAAAGGGAAATACAAATGTTCACCTCACTGGCTCACTGTGCTTAGATGATGACAAGCTACATCTCACTGATGAAGCCCAAAGAAGGCAGAAACAATCATCTTTGTTGCTGTACTATTTGTGCAAAGGGGACTTGTTGGTATTTAGGTACTGAACTGCCCTTGTTTGTGGGATCAGTCCATTATGCAATTGGTATGGGTGGAGTGCGGACTAACTGAAGGGCAAGATTCGGAGACATTGATATAGCAGGTCTTCTCTGTGGATGCTGGCAGCAGTGACAGCTTCAGGGGTCCCCTAGCACAACATACTGATCCACTGGGTCCTGGAGGCGTACAGAGACAGCTTGCTGCTTTGCAGCCTATGCAAACCTGTCAAGGAAGATCCTTTTATCCCTCTGACCGACAAACACAAACCACAGTATCTCAGCTTTTCATGAACAATTTGCCATTTGAACAAACTAGCTTAGCAAGGTTTTAACTCAATAGTGGTATTTATCAAGCAGAGTGTCCAGTTTATGTGTGCCAGCATTTTGGGTGGGATAAGTCTGTAATGTAATGTAAATGGTTCAGTTTCTCTCTATAATGGCACAAGTGGACTTAAAGGGACACTATAGTCACCTGAACAACTTCTGCTTAATGAGGTTTTTCAGGTGAGTACAGTATTTTCAGAAAATACAGTGTTTACATTGAAAGCTAGGAACACCTCCAGTTGCAGTCACTCACAGTAAACCAGAGGGACTTCAGAGTTGATGGGAGGCATAATATGCCTTCGTCCACTCAGATCTGCTGTGAACGAGCATCCTGTGATTCAGTATCTCCTCCCACTGTATGCAGACACTGAACTTTCCTCATAGAGATTCATTGATTCAATTCATATCTATGAGGAGATGCTGATTGGTCAGGGCTGTGTTTGAATCATGCTGGCTCTGCCCCTGATCTGCCTCCTTGTCAGTCTCAGCCAATCCTATGGGGAAGCATTGTGATTGGATCAGGCTACAGCTTCTGATGTCAGCAGACTGCTTGTTTTTCTAAGTCTAACAGCATGCAGATCTACAGCTTCTGGCTTGAATACAGTAAGATTTTTACTATATTTATGGAGGCATGAGAGGCCGAGGGGGGCTAGATGGTGGTATTAACACTATAGGGTCAGGAATACATGTAGCTGCACTGGTGACTATAGTGTCCCTTTAAAAGAAAACACAAAAAACATCCTTAAAAGACCACTAAAGTCACCCAGATTACTTCACCTCAACGAACAAACAGAAACTGCAACGTTTATATTGCAGGGTAAAAAACTCTAGTGGCTGTTTTCCTGATGGCAACTAGAGGCACTTCCACCTCCAGTGCCAAGTGAACCTCAGTTCTGGAACCAAAGCCTACTCTTAGCAGCATTTGACTGCATGGGGGGCGGTGTTTGGCTGTGCACGAATATCTCTAATCCAATGCTTCTTTATGAGAAGCATAGGATTGGAAAAGTTTACGGAAGAAGATATCAGCAGGCTGCAGCAGAGAAGCCTTTGTGCTGGAAATGAGACAAGTAATCGGTAGTTAACTTTAACAGTTGCAGAGAAAACGGGATGAGGAAACTTATAACGAATTTTGGAAAATACATCAGTGTCTCTTTAAAGACTTATTTTTAGATGGACGTTGGATATTCATCTGTAATTGGTATGATGTGTCAATATTTATAGGTTTAAATGCTATTCAGAAGAGTATGTAAAACAGGACTCTTAATAAAGACCTATTATTTGTAATGATTGTGTGGGTTCAATTCAAGCTACAGAGCTCAGTGACATGCTGCAATTAAACTAACAGTTCATCACTCAAAAGAAGGTGTTTATAACTCACTTATTGATAATCAGAACTGCCCAATTTCTGTAATGTGGAGAAATACATTTTTTTTTTTTTTAAATAACAGTTAATATTTTTGTCCTGCCCTCTCCCTCAAATATTCTCAGTCTAGTCTGTTGTCTTACTCTTCAAACTACCTCCTTTGCTCACAGAGTCATTCACAAAGTCCAAATGCACAATGATTAGCGAATATAAACCATCCAGGTTTCTCATGAGCTACCAATGCTCAGAATTTGCAATAAAGCCCCTAAATTACAGAGAATGTAGACTACCCGATGCAACTTAATGGCAGAACTGGACAATTGAAATAGACAACTGAATAACAAAAATACAGTGATTAGACAGAATTGGCAATTTCAGGAAACATTATCACTATAGAAAGCTTTGATTAGTGTTGTTTTAAAGGGACACTCCAGACCCCATAAGCACATTAGCTTGTTGAAAAGCTTAAATGTTTGACGAGTGTGTCCTATATTTTTGTTTTATAAAAAGTGCAGATTTCATTAATTATACTGGATACACTCCCTGTCTTTTCAAGCAGGCAACAAGGTCCTGTTACTTCCTGATTCGGTTAACTTAGTTGCACTGAACTCAAGAGGCAGCAATTGCCCAGAGCACCTGTCTTGCAAAGATTTCTCATTGAACTGCATCGGGAAGTCTGATTGAAAAGTCACAAAGTTTGGCCGGGGTTAGAAAAGGAGGGCTTTGCAAAGGCTGCAGACAAGAGAACTGCACTGAAGCTGTTTTTAGATATAAATTCATCATTAAACTCATGCAAGTTTTCATTTAGGGTATATCTACTAAATCATTTTCTATTTTATTTATTTTCTATTTTGGTAGTGGAGTGTCCCTTTAATAAATAACTACCAGGAAAAACTTTATATTCTACAGAGGGGCTCAATATATCACAATCAAAATATTTAAGTTATTGAATTTTTTTTTTTTTCTCTATCCATCTGCCGCTGGCTTCTTGCACTTTAAGTATGCAAACATTGCAGATTTCTGAAGGTAAGCCTGAAAAAAGCAGATCCACGTATTTGCAAATTTGTGCAGAGAACTAGGTTGAAATGTAGCGTCTAATAAATATGCAAATACTATATATCAAGCGCCACATGGTTCAAAGTGAGACAAGCTCATCTGGTTGAAATAACTATATTTCAACCGGATTTGCAAAGTCCCTAGGCAGTAAAATCGCCACTGGTGGTCCGGTGGCCACCATCTTTCTCGCGCTGCTCCTCAGCATCACGAGCCAACGTCACTGCTGTAATCTCAAACTAAGTGGGGGGAGACAGGGGAGTATTTTTTTTTTTTTTACTTTTGCAAAAAGAAAGGGGCATGGGTAACCAACTAGCAAAAAATATCTAATAATGGCAGGTTGACAATGAAACAGAGGGACAAATAGGGATAGAGAATGGCATAATCAAATTCATAGTATGAATATTTTCACTATCAAATAAAATATCACTATTCTTTTACAATTTGCATAGATTTTATTTTCTAGAAAAATCAAAACACCCAGAAGAGCTGACTAGCAAACCAAAAGTAAACAGGAAATAGGTCATCCTAAACCCGAGCGCGTGTCCGTGAGCGCGCGTCCGTCCGCCCGACCGCGTCCGCGAGGGCGTGTCCGCCCGCCCGCGAGGGCGTGTCCGCCCGCCCGCGAGGGCGTGTCCGCCCGCCCGCGAGGGCGTGTCCGCCCGCCCGCGAGTGAGAGAGAGTGTGTGTGTGTGTCCGTCCGCGAGTGTGTGTGTGTGTGTGTGTCCCCCCCTCTCCGCGAGTGTGTGTGTCCCCCCGTCCGCGAGTGTGTGTGTGTGTGTGTGTGTGTCCCCCGTCCGCGAGTGTGTGTGTGTCCCCGCAAGTGCTGGTGTGTGTGTAGGTAGTGTCCCCCGTCTTGGCAGTGTGTGTGTGTGTGTCCCCGTCAAGGAAGTGTGTGTGTGTGTGTGTGTCCCGGCCCGGTGTGTGTGTGTGTGTGTGTGTGTCCCGTGAGTGTGTGTGTGTGTGTGTGTGTGTCCCGTCCGTGTGTGTGTGTGTGTGTGTGTCATGTGAAAGTGTGTGTGTGTGTGTGTGTGTGTGTGTGTGTCCCCGTCTGTCTGCGAGTGTGTGTGTGTGTGTGTGTGTTTCCCCGTCTGTCTGCGAGTGTGTCCCCGTCCGTCCACCTGCGAGTGTGTGTGTGTGTGTGTGTGTCAGTC